TGGAAACAGATCACTCAGGGTAGCTAGGTCAAGTGAATAAATTTCTGCACAGAATCCAACGTAAAATTCTTTCTTTTAATTTTCATTTTTTTCCCCCTGGCATTTCAAGAAGAAAACAAACTAGCTGTCTAATACACTGACAGTAACAGAGCAATTTTTGTTCCCCAATAATTCTTTCCATCAACAATTTAGCAATTCATATGTCAGATTTTTGTGTTGAATACAGTTTGATTCATGAAAATCTTTGCAAATTTGGAACAAAGCCTGAAACTTACTGAAGGCCGATGAGGGAGTTAAGCAAAGAAATCAGGACTGCGGAGAAAAGCAGTCGCTGTCTGTACCAGCTGTGAAACGTGGTGCTTTGCCTTTGCATCAATGCAGTGCATTCTCTGATAAAGTGGACTAATCCAGACTGGAGGTAGTCAGTGGAAATAGCAAAATACACTACTGAGTTCCAAGGCATGAGAGATGAAGCAAATTGTTAGATAATTTGAAATTTGCCCTTACCTACGAATATTTGGGCAGAGATCTGAACGTAGCAATAGCAGAATGCATGTAGAGTAACATGTACAAATTGACCAGTTTTTTCTAGTTTCTTCTATACCCTGCTCTTTGAACCTCTTGCATGAGCTTTATATGATGCCCTATTACTAAATACTGGGCACTGAAACTGTTGTCTGTACCTGGTAGTTTTATTGTAGAATGGAAAATACGTTGAAATGTCAACACTTCTGCAAAGCAGTGAAGTGTCTTGTCAGTTCAAGACTGTGCATCAGTTGCTCATTTAAATTTTTCTAATGAGTGCTTAGGAGTACTTGTGAATCTCCTGCTGAGGTTGAAGAGGCATTTTTGTTTGGGTTGGAGATGATTTTCCACTCCAGGAGATGGCCTGGTTTGTGCTACTGTGAAATGGAAGGGACGCAAAGCATTCAACACGGAGATTTCAGCAGTCAGTTTTAGCTAACGATCTACTGTGTAGCATCAATCCTGTCCTCCTTTCTCAGTTAATTATAATATAGTCTGTGGTTTTGCAGGTATTCAGTGTCCTGGGCCCAGAAAAGCTGTAAGACCTCTTAAAGGTCTGGGATGTAGACTGTACATCTCTGGCAAATGAAACTTCTACAATTAAAGGTGAACTGAACTAAATCTGAGAGCTGTTTCTTGCTAGACTTCTCCAGTCTCAGTGGTGCTTTAAGAAACCTGTAGCAATGTCTCTTTTATCAAAAAAACCTGTTAAATCCCAAGCATTATTTCCAGGAAGAAGATAAATGAGAGAACAAAGCACATCTGATTTATTATTGGTTGTCTTTATTAATATATTATTGGAAGATACTTGTTCTGCTGTGATATAAAAATACGGACTTGCACATCCTAAAGAGGAGATGACTTTTTCTCTCTTTCTAGGTTACTCTCTTTTCTCTCTTTCTAGGTTACTAGTTACTAGGTTACTAGTTATTCTGTACTGTTCTTGTGAGTGTAAATCTTTGTATCTATCCACCTGTGCTCATTTGACCTTCCTGAAGGTGATGGAGCATGCATGCAAGGAGGCGATGAAGGATGACTCAGCCAGGAGAGCTGTAGTTGCTTACCACAGGAACTTTTAACTGTATTTTCATTGAATCAAAGTGTAGCAGCATTTTTAACTAGCAGGAGTTAAACGCATAGAGGGACATTGAACACGTTACACTTTCCAACAGAAGAGAGAAACGATCTTTGCTAATATGCTTTGGAGTTGGCAAAGGTGGTTGCGCCTCTTGAGCCATTTGTAGCATTACCTCCTATTTCCTTATGTGTATGTACAAAGTTGAACTCACAACTCAGCACTGCAGCTTGAATCTTGATTAGGTATTTTGGCTAGTGTTACAAAGTAGCAGCTACCTGAGCATACTGAGGGGTTTTCTTTGAGTAGCATATGCAGTTTCTATCTCCTAATGAGCTCAAAATTCTACAGTATAGAAACAAGAGTATTTATAGACTCAAACAGAGCTCTCTATTATGCAGGGTATTACAATGGGCCAGTCTTTTCTCTTTTCTTTTTTTCTTTAAGATCCTTGCTGTGTGCACATTGAAAAATAATCTGATTAAAACAAAACACTTCAGAAGTACATTGAGGGGAGAATTAATGGAATTTGTTTTCCATAATTCCTGTTAACAAGGTTGACCTTACAGGAAGGCTTGCAGGTTTATTTTACACTGCTGATTCTTTTCTTTTCATTGATCTTGTGACTGTCCTTTTCCTATTGCTCTGTTTCTGAAACTTAGAGTAGCTACAGCAGCAGCTGATTAGGGGAAATGCTGTCTGTTAGATGGTAATAGGGAGGGGTAAAGAAGAAAATATCTTGCATTAGTGAATTGGCATGGTTGTTTGGTTTGTGGTTCTCCTCTGAAAACATTGCAGGGACTTTCAGTATACGGGGCTTGTCCAGTTTGACCAGAGGTTCCTCATGCTTGCCCTACTGAAATGCTGCTAAACTGGCGGTTTTTCAGTAATAGCCGCAAAAGTGTGCGACACCTCCACAGAATGTCCTAGAATTTGATTTTTGTCCCAGTGGATCCACTATAAAAATAGCTTCCAACTAATTCCTTCTGCTTTATCAGTAGACATTAATTCCCCCAAGTTTAGTAGTTTTAATATATCCTTGTGGGGATATTAACATTTTATGAGATGTACAAAAGAATTGAAGAGATGTACGAGTCCATTAAATAAGAGAATTCACAGGACTGCGGGTTATACAAAATCTATTGTAAGAGCCAGAAGTGTTTCTACAAACTAGCGTAGCATCCACCCAGCGTCTCCTTTCTTTCTGTTTCCTCCCTGAGGGAATGGCAGTGCCCACGCTCAATTACGTGTCCTGCTTTTTCCCAGTCCGCTTGTCTCGCCTTTTTTCAGCTGTCCCATCGCCTTTGTCAGCGCAGCAAGCTATTCAGCACTTGGACAATTATCTGATGCTCGTTGGCCTAATTCTGCCAGACCTTCTCCGAAATCCCTGAGAAGAGGGAATATAGGGAAAGCTGCTCCGCTGCACTGCAGCTGCAGCTGAGCAAATGTATGCAGCTTCTCAGGAGAGGCTTCAGTTGCCACACATACTCAAGCAGTTACACAATTTAATATTCTGCTTGTTTCAGGATTGCATTGTAATTATTTGAAAATTGCAGTATTTTAAGTCATCCTTCCTGCACTGCATCTTTCCCCACACTTGCTTTTTTGCTTGTGTTAATATATATAACATAAACCTTGAAAGGACCGAAGATAAACATATACACAGTAAAAGCATCTGATCTACAGTAATTCTCTTCCTTCTCCCTCTGATTATTTCATTTGTCATCAATTGTAGTTGATGTGATTGAAGTCTTAAGCTTTTTGTGGTACATTCATTTTTTCAGAGTCCCTCATGGTAATTTCAGACTGCAGCTATCACTACAATCCCTCCTAAGAGCAATTAGATTATTGGGAGCACAGATAAATATTACCTTCTATAACTTTAATGCAAGGTAGTGATGGAAAGTCATCCTGAATCAAGTGTTCCTTCAAGTTTATCATAGTTTCTGATAGTATATTTGCAAGAATTTTTTCAGCAACGCTTTCAAATGTCAGTTGACAGGATTTAAGCTAATTCTTGTGGTGCACGGGTTTTCCAGGGTAAGTCACTAAGCTGTTCTAGAGTCAGCGAAGTGAGGAACATGGCTTTTTCACATCCATCTATCGTGTATCCTATACTAGTGCTTAGTTTTTCTACCATGAGAGTTGCACGTGATTGCTAATGCAAGTTTCTGTCCTTCTTCCCTTCATGTTTGCTCCCGACAGGTCTGTGTAGTTACTGGAGGGCCGGCGCCTGCGGCATGCCAGAGCATTGGTGCCTGTGGAGCAGTGGCTGAGCCCCTGAGGCTGCCGGTTCCACTGGCAGTGCATTGCCTGCTCCTGCCCATCTATGCCTTCCTTTTATTAAAGGGCAGATATAGTCTTTATTTTTCACTTCCATATCAAATGTTTTCACTTCTCCCCACAATATGTTTTGGGAGTGTGTGTGGGAATGAACAGCATTGTGGTCTTGGGAATTAAGGACCTTTCCATTAAGTCTCCTCTTGTTGATGCAGCCGGAGGTGTGTTGCTCTGATAGTGGAACACATTCGGGCCCTGTCTGTGAAGTGCTGCTGTTGCCCACAAATGCTGAATAGTTGCTTAAAGAGATAAAAGTTGATTTAAAGATCCCCCAGCACTTGTGACTTTAGTTGTTTTATGTGTCACCTTGTCTTTTGCGTTCTAGCCACTGCTGCACTAAACAGTGGCTGATCATTTACAATCTGGTTAGAAGGAGTTATGGTAGGGATGGGGAAAAAGCAAGAAGAGCAGAAAATATTTTCAGGGAGCCAGGTTTTCAGCAGTATAAATAGACAAAGGTTCGCTGAGTAAAGGAAGCTAAAAGCTGAAGGCAAATACCTTTTCCGCTGACTATTATTATTGAAGTCACGAGGGAGAAGGTAAAGAATGAGAGCACCAGGGTTTTGGGGCAGCAATTTTAATCTCTCTCTGGAGCCCCACGGCACAGCTAGATCCTCTGATTATGCTTACTTCTTTTTTTATGATAAAAACTTGCATTTATGGAGGCCACGTATGTGTTTACTACAGTACACCAACAAACAAGAACCCCCTCCTCCCCAATTTACTAGCTCGTTAAAGTAGCATGTGGTCCGGCTTTTATCCAAGAAATATAACAAGATGCCTGATACCAGCCAGTGCATTAAAAACTATATGAAGTGCCTGTATTGATAAAGCAACTTTACAGTTAAGTAAAGCCGAGAGCATCTCTTCTTCATTACCATAGCAAGTTCTTATGCAGAAGTCTCATGTATGTTCTGGCAGTTCAAAGAAACAGTCCATGAGCGATTGGTTGTTGTTGTTGTTGTTTGCAGTGCCTCCAAAGCCAGTTCATCTGCAGAAGGTGTCACCTGTTACATACCAAACCCCTAGGCATAAAGCTTTATCAAATCAGAAGCCAAGAATGGAGGAAGAGACACCCACCCCCGTTTCTAGTGTCGCAAAGGAAAAGTCCAGTAAAGTGTCAGATCTCATCAATCGTTTCGAGGGAGGCAGGTATGTAATAGAATTTGAATTGGTTTGTAACTCTGTTTTGTGTGGATTATTGGAACTTGAACATGTGAGGAAGAAAGTTGATACCGAGGTAGTGCTCAAACCAATTCCTGCCAGAGGAGTTGATGGCAAAACTGCGCGTGTTCTGAAATCATGCAAGCCAATTGTATATTTGGCCTGTACAAGGTATGCTTTCTCATAAGGTGCTAGTCTTAATTTTTCTTTTAAAACAAACAAACTTGTAGCATTTTTAAAACATCGTGAAAAAATGTCAGCAATTTGAAATAAGTGCTGGTTTTAGAATGAAACTTTGGAGATAATCTTGAATTCTTTTGTTCTTGCAGAAAAAAAAACATTTCCTTTTATAAGCAAATAGAAAAACCTGAAATCCTGATTTTCCTTTTATATTGATGTAACCTCTTCAGATCATTCACATAAAGAGGGTGAACTGTACGAGTTATTTGTATTGATATGGCATACATTCATGTCGTGGTTTAACCCCAGCCAGCAACTAAGCACCACACAGCCGCTCGCTCACTCCCCCCC